CGGCGGCGGCGGCGGCGGCGGCGGCGGCGGCGGCGGTGGTCTCGGCTCCTCGAGCCATCCCCTCTCCAGCCTGCTCAGGTGGGTAACGCTACGGGGCTGGGCAGCTGCCTGGAGACCCCCCTTCCCCTGCCCGTCTCCTGGGTCCCCAGAGAGATCGGGGCTCCGGAGACCCTGGTGGGGTGGGTTTGCGGGGTGCCCCGGGGCGAGGGCAGGCGGCCCAAGGGGCGAGGGGCGCCGGTGCGGGTCCGCGCGGCGTCAGGCTCTCCTCGTCTCGCCTAACCCGGCAGCGAAGAATGGTGGGAGTGCCCAGGTGGCAGCCTCCGCCGCATGGCACAGCCGGGCTTCACCCTCGCCCGCTGTTGGGTGCCAGCTGTTGTATTTCACAAGCCACTTTAAAGCAGAAAATATGTATATTTTAAATCTCCCTCATCTCCTGCAGAAACTCCCACGCCTTGCAGAATCTCGCGGTTCCCTTGGAGGAAATTCTCTTGATTCCCTTCTTTTGGGAACTTGGAACCTTCCACCAGGCTCTGCAGGACGTGGCTTTTGTTGTTTATATTAAAATTGCCTCTGGGTTTATCACGCTCAAAGTGTTCTTCTTTGAGCCCCTCTTGTGCTTGAAGCTTAAATTCTGGTTCCTTATAGTGAATCTCATTGGATTAGTCTGTTAAGTGGCATATGCAGGGTTCATCAGGGGGTTTATTCATCAAAAAATAAAGCTTTAGAAAGACTTGTTTAGGAAGCTGAGGGGTGCTTTAAACTTTTCCAAGGTCTGTTGTTAAAATAAACATTTGAATCTGGAGCTGTAAGGATTGAGAGAAAAAGGTCGTTTTTATGTGGCTTGGAGGGGGGATTGTAGGTGCTTTGTCAGTGTGAGTAAAATGTGTTGTTTCAGCAGCACTTTCATAGCCGGTTTTCTTTTCCTTCCTTGTTCTTTTGAGGTTTTTAAGAAGTGGAAGTTCATTTAGAAATGGCTTCATTCGCTTTTGTTCCCCATTAGTTTATGTAACTTCAATTTGAGTGAGCTTGGACCAAAAAAGCCCAAGGCTCTAATAAATTGTTAGGTATTAAGCACTGAATGCAAACCCAGGTCTATACAGGAAGATATTAAAAAGCAGTCTAAGAGAACTCTCCCAGGGGGTTCTTTTGGGGAGGCAAAAACCAGTACCATTTGCGGCAATTTCCAGCCCCTAGAACAATGCTGTCACATAGTTAGTACTCAGGATTTGTTGAATAAATAAAAGTATCAATTAGGAAATGATACATTTCTACATAAACTGATGGTGGTACTCACTGTTAGTAGTTCAGAGAAATGAGACATCACTGTGGGATGAGATGGAGATCAGGGCTCCCAGGAGGAGGGGGACTTCAGCTGACTTTGCAGGTTGTGAGGATTTGGGTAGGTGAAGTACTCTGAGAGCGTTCCGAGTGGGCACACCATGATCAGGGGCACTGAGGTGGGAAAGGAGACTTATTTGGTGCCAGTGGGTCACTAGAAGAACTTTCTGTCTGGAGCCTTAAGAGGTTGGGTGTGATAAAAAGAAATAATAATAATGGATGGCTATACTTCCATCTTTCAGAGTGACTTAGTCTTTATGTTTATATTCCCAGTTCCTATATCAGTGCCTGACACAGGTGTTCAATAAATGTACTTCGAATGCATAAATTGGGTTTTGAATCTTACCTGGATTACTTTGATATTCCTGCACTTCTGATGTCTGAGAGATGAGGGAAAGACCATACCGGTTTGGAGGTGCCTGCCTCTAGTGAGCTGAATGCTACAGCATTTGTCTGTTTGCCAGAGATACCTTACCCCCCCACCCCACCCCCCTTAACTACCTTGTAGTTAAGCAAGACTAGAAAATCTTTGTTGATTTTCTTTTTTTTTTTTTTACTTTGGGCCTCATGTTAATATGTCCAGTCTCTGTCATAAAGGGTGGATGTTGTCTCCACTCCCTTGTGTAAGAGAGCTGACTCCTTCTGACTTGCTCCTGTATCTGTTGTTGAGATGGTAGATGGCCTCAGAGCTGCCCCAGCCTCTCATCCCTGTGACTCCTAGGGGCAGGGAGGATCTGCAGGCACTAGTTACACTAGGTTTGTCAGTAATTAGAGGTGACTCTGATTAAACCTAGTGAAAGATTTCTGAGAAAATGAAACCATGCATTTAGATAATCCCTAGGTCAGCATGTCCTCCCTTTTTAGGTTTGGAAATAGTAGAGGGTAGGTCTCCTATGCCCACACACCCCACCTCAAGGACCCTGGGTTATTTAGTGAGAGCTGTGGAATCGTAGCTTCAGATTTGGCCCTTGCATTAGCTGCCATATCCTACCCCACTAGTATTGTCAATTGCAGCCTACGTTTGTCCAGCTGTTTGGAGTGACCAAGTAAAGCAGGCAGGAATAGGAGCTTACAGCTGCAGTGGATATAAATGTTCTGGATCACAAGTATGTTTGTCTACTCATCTGTTTATGACCCAACCCACCCCCCCACCCCCATTCTACAAAGGCTTTGTGCTTATTCTTAAGCTATAAAATGCCTCCTCTCTCACCCATCCCTTTTCTCTTATACTGCTTGGCCTTAGGTCTTAACCTCTTAAAGCCCTCCCTAATGACCCTAATACATACAGATCTCTCAGGCTTCTACGTCTTTGGAGCCCCTTATCTGCAGTGAACAGTATCACATCAACTCATACTTTGCTTGCCTAGATTTCACAGTTTATTGCTTTACATATAGTAACCCTTACCAATTGAGAACATACCTGCTGAGGATCAGAAAGTCAGCAAAGAAGACTTCTACTAGGAAAAAAAATGGTTATGAACTTCATGTCCTTCTGACCTTCACTTATTTACTGTATACTTATTCAGAAGCAGTATAGTATTATGCTTCAGACCACTTGTTCTGGAGTCAGACTGCCTGGATTCACATTTCGCTGCTACCACTGACTAGCTGCTTGACTTTCTGTGAATTACTCAACCACTCCGAGCCTCAATTTCTACATCTGTTAAATGGGGGGAATATTATTTGTTTTATAGGTATTGTCTTATGTAATGTGTGGAAGAAGCTCAC